CCCAAATGATTCTATGATTCTATGATCCTTATTTTCTTTTAACGCTTTTCTGTTTTCTTTTGTAACTTACTTCTTACTTTTTTTTCATCTGTTTCCAACTCCATATTATAATTTTTTTTTTGTAAAATAACCAACAGGAAAAAACAATCTTTAGAAAATTAGCAAGTTTGCAGTATCTCAAAAGGAGTATTTGTACGTAGCCACAGCATCTGCTAGAAACTCTGAGGCTTGTAACAAATTGCAGTACATTGTCCACACTGGATTAGAAACCAAAGAATCGGTCATATCTGTTCTCAGTTTGCACACTTAATTTTTTTTTTTCTTTTTTATCCAGAATCTGCAGGGTCTGTAATACTTCTGTTCTGGGCATGCACAACCCATCAGGTTACATGACAGAGGGAAGGACAGGGTGGGAGGCACAAAATGATTTAAGTACAGTCTTCCAGTCAACGCTGCCAATTTTTATTGGAAAGTTCTGTTAGTTAAACAAATTTTAATTCTTCATTTGCAACTCAATATGTAAAAGATGCCGCACGTTAACATCTTCAGAAGTGTGTGGTAGATTTTCAGTTTACTTTTCCCACGGTGAAATGGAATTCTGAACCTTAGAAGCCAAGGTTCATCACTGTCAGCTTGTACCACATTGTGTTGTGGTTTTTCTGGTGGTTCTCTCAACCCTTTATTCCGGTTTACTTAGTCAGGTATTTACAATTCCAATGTGACATTTTGCCTAGCAACATTTGTTTAAAAATTTCAGTGCTGCCAATACCCAAACAAATTTAAACATGCCAGAATTGAGATACTTCTGCCTGCTGAGATTGTAGAGTATTTAAATGAGCTCTTAATGCATACTGCGCAATATTACAGGGTAAAAATATGAAGTGCTGTGACTGTTAAGCTGTGTTTATGGTACTAGAATACCATATAAATAAGGTAAAGACAAAAATTTCTACCACAGACTTTAAATTCAACTTTAAAATCAAAATTGGCCTCTATAAACTGCTAGTAGGTTTTCTCCTCATTTCCTTTCTTAATGTTTCCATTATCTGCTAAGTGTCACGGGCAGGCTAGCCAGGAAGATGCCCAGTCTGAACAAGAGTTCATGGTTGTAACTTTAGACAACACATAGTACTTGAACTCTGAAGCAAGGTCTTCTGCTTGAGAAGACTGTCCATTCAAGAGATACCCCCTGTACTTCACAAGAAAAGGCTGTTGAGATCAGGAATACCATTGAGAAGAAATCACTGTTTAACCCGTAATGGGTCCGTTCACTTCTATGTTATATGAATACAATGAACCGTGTGGCCTAACGATGGTGCTGAACGGTAAGTTTTTGAAAGGGTAGAAAGTTTCTCAAAGGCATACAGAAGTAATGTGGGAAGCTCACATCTAACGAAAAATCTTTTGATATTTGCAGTGCCAAAGGAGACAGTAGCTTTTGAGGGAGCCGTCCAAAGCAAATGAAATAGCTGTTCCACTTGCCACGTCTTGATCAGTAAGACATGCTATGAAAGCTGGAATAGAAAAGCAAAGAAAGGAAGGTACTTTATAGAAACCAGTTAGGGCCAAAATTAGCAAGGCTTTCAAACCAACTGTCCTAACAACCTATTTGGAGATGAATTGATCTTGTGAATATAACTCACCAAGGCTGTCCTTTTAGCTGCTTGCAAGCAAGAGGGGAGCTTAGAGCCAGAATACCAAGCTCTGTTTGGGAGTTCTCTCTCTGGAGATGTACCTGCTGAAATGAGTGAGGAAACAGAGCCATAATTGTAATGGTACAAAAGAGACTTTTTCCTATCCTCTAATAGGAGAGGAGGCTGAGAGCCAGCCAAATTCATGTGTGTAAAAATGAGAATGAGCAAATACTGTTAGTGGTTCGTTTAGGGATGGATTGGAAAGCTTGGATTTTGTCAAGAGCACTGAAGTTATGAGGATCTTTGCAATCTGCTATTAAAAGACGAATCTTCAACTTACCTGACAGACTTGGTTGAAGGGGGAATGACAGCAATTTCACGTACACTGGCTGCCTACTGATATGAAAAGCATTTCTTCCAAATTACTGCAAATTGAAAATATCTGAGGAAACGCTTCTATTTGGTGGCAGAACAAATGAGTGCTATCTTTCTCAAAAAGCATAGATTTTATTCTGATACAGGCTAGAATCAAAGAAATAGCAGCACTTGCTTGTACACCAGTTGTGCAAATGAAAGGTAGGCAAGACTGTAGGCGTTTGTTAGATCATAAATGATTATTTCTTCAATTGGGCTCTAGCGGGTTGAGCTGATGTTCAAAGGTGCCTAAAAATCGCTTTTGAAGCAAGCAAATGCATGTTGTTTGGGTTTTGAGTAAAAGAAAAATCCTGAATAAATTATTCAAGGAGTTCCTACATTTATCTGTTCCTGGATGGAGATCTTAAAAAGGCACTCGGGTTGCAAGAACGCATTCCTATGAGAAACTAAAGTTTGCTGATCCGACAAAGGTTTTCATTTCTTCATCAATTTTAGTAATGTTCTAGTCTATTAATTCAATAACGGTGTTACAGAGGTGACCAGTCAGGACACACTTACTGGAAAAAGAGCAGTGCTTGATCATAACTGGTATAGCTATGTCACGAACTTCTGCTTTTTTCTTTTTAATTATTTTTAAGGATGGAGGATACTCATTCATTGTGTTGTGATAAGGAAACACCAACTTACTACATGAACCAAGCTAGGACTGGCTCCAGAATACACCCTCAGCTTTTCATAGTATTTCATACCATGTTCTTCAGGCCTTATTGCTGTTTCTATGAAGATGTTGTGTTTTCTCAGAATCAGGCTATTTCTTTTGAGCAAGTATTCCAGTGCAAGTGTATCCCTTCCCAGAATGTTGACAATTAAATACTTTCATCCTTTACCTGCTGTATGTGATAGAGGAAGGAAACGTGGTTAACTGTTATCACTCGGATATCTTTGATGAAGGGTCAGCAGTTAACATCTTTAGTCCTGTTCTTTCAGCTGTTTTTAAAGTAGAGATCTCACTGAATTTGAAAAGTGCTGGAATCACTTAAGAGCCCTTAAGAAATGAGATTTGTCATTTGTTTTCTGTGCAGGAACTGACAGAAGAAGGCCTTCCTTTTCTCATACTTTTCCACATGAAAGACGACTTGGACAGTTTAGAGAAATTCCAACAGGAAGTTGCACGACAGTTAATAAGTGAAAAAGGTTTGCAGTAACTCCTGCTGCTTCTTGTTTTTACTGGTATAAATTTTTTCAGGCAAACTCAGTAGAGTGGAAGCAAAGGCCAGACAAAATCCTATCTTTAAAGCTCTTGAGACTAAAGGGGTTTATGTACTTTTGACACTGGGGATCCCCCCCTCAGGAAATGATTAAAATAGATACACAATTTATTAGTATGTAACTATTTCAGAAATCCTTCTTATCTAAATGACGTAATGCAGTTTGAGAGGGCATTAAACAAATCTTCAGTTTGCTTTGTGGTGAAAAACACTTTTAAGAAAATCCGTTATTTTGGTGGTGTTAGTTACTTAAATCTATTTTCAAGTTTTGTATGTTGTATCTATCTAGTATCTCCACCTTGTAAAAAAAAAAAAAAAAATCTTAACATGGATTTTTTTGTCTGCTCACAATTTTAAGGTACAATAAACTTCCTCCATGCTGACTGTGATAAATTCAGACACCCGCTCCTCCACATTCAGAAGACTCCAGCAGACTGCCCTGTTATTGCCATTGATAGCTTTAGGCACATGTATGTCTTTCCAGACTTCAGTGACTTGTCGTAAGTATTTTTCTCTGTGCATTTTAATTTGAGAAGAACAAAGGAAAAGACATGCTCATATTGTAATCAGTACTATGGTAGGAAGATGAATAAATCTGGGATAGGTAAAGCTGTCTATGTATGATTCAATGTCAGAGCCTTAAAGCAATATGAATTGGTGTGAAGTCATTGTTTACATGGAGTTGCATTACTTTATGCAAGAAGAGAATCTCACATTAAATTTTTAGATGCTGCTGCTCTTTTGTTTCAAAGTTTTGCTGTTTTCCATTGTAGTTAGGCATTTGGACCCTGGCATGGTATTTTTAGTGGTGATCTAGATATATCAATTAACTTTAGAAGTTTTAAAATACAACATGGAATATTGAAGTGCTGTGTTACGGAATGATTACTGTAAAATGCACCATGTAAGAATTCCCAGCCTGCTGGTTTGGTTTTTCCTGCTGTGCAATTCCAACCTTCCTGCATTAATCTAAACCTGGAAAATTGCCAGAGAAGTCCTTGTTGTGTGGGTTTCTGAAATTTTCCACGTGCAGCGTGGAAAATGGCTGGTCATTGGCATGTTATCTGGATAAAATATGTGAGAGAAGTATCAGGGTGCTTAGGTGAAATACCACTGTGATAATCCTCTTTACAACAGCCTCTCTCTTTGTGCTGTACTGCCTTGGAAGCAGATGTTGTGTCTCCTGTGGCTCAGTTGAGGAGTGGAGATGCGTAAACATTACCTTCAGGGGCTTTCAGCATGAGACAAGCTCGCTGTCTTTGTCTTCAGGTTGTGTGTTAAACTCCAGTTTCTGTCTCAAAGGAGGTACCTCTGCATATACACTGCTTGTTAAGTCCTGGTTAGATGCCTAGGCTTTGAGATTTGAATTTTTGCCTGTTCGTATTTTTGACAAAAACGAAATACCCCGAGTTTTCAAAGCCAAGGATTCAAAGCTCAGACTTAGCATGCAATGTGAACGTGATCCCATGTTTAATTCTGCCACTCCAGGAGGCATTTTTTTACCTGAAATGTTCACATTTGGAAGGAGGGTTCAAACCTAGCTTCTCCCCATAATTCTCCACAGGCTTATTCTTAAAATGTAGTCTCTGTTTGATGTATCTCAAATAGTGCCTTTCAAATATCTAAAGCTATGTATATTGAAACTCTGATAGTGACTATTTTTCTCCCTGTGTTCCTATTTCTTTGGAAGATCATGTTCACCGCACATGCCAGCGCTTTAAAAAAAATAGTGGCATATTTGCATTTTGACAGCATTCTTCTTTATTCTCGCTTTTGAAACAGCCCTAAAATAAATTAATATCTCTTATAGGGGCGATAAAGATGTTTAGTTTAGACTTTCATGTTATGTTTCTTACCTGTTCTGTTTCTGTGAAACACTATCAGAATAATAACAGCTACTTGCTTGTTTGTCTACCAATTGTTACATACAAATGAAGATGAGAGAGAGATGTCAGGATTGTAGACAGTTGCTTAATAATAAATAATTATTCAACCTTACTCTAGGAGATTGAGCTGATACTTAGAAATACCTAACAAACAGTTTGGAAACAAAGAGAGCTTGGAGCTCCTGGGGTGGTATTCTTTTGTGTGTGTGTGTTTGGTTTGGTTTGTTGGGTGGTTTGATTTTTTTTTTTTTTTTTTTAAATAATAGGTAAAATATTAATTCTGAGACTTTCATCTACCTGCAAGGATTTCTGCAACTTCAGTACATTTTCTGGACTCTTTTACAAACTGGCCCCAGACTGTTTCTTGTAATCTCAGTGCTGCTACCAACCAACAGGGTTTGGATATGGTACTTTCAGAACTGGCCCACTAAAAGATTTCCTCTCTCTTTAAGGAGTTGTCTTTTTGGAGAATAGCTACTTGATAGGCAAATGAGACCACCACTCGATATTTTGTCCTCATACTTTGGCCACCTGGCCTGATTCATCCTGCTCTTTCAAGTTGGAAACGATAGTAGAGAATGTTCAACAGATCACTTGTAGCTTCTCAGCAAGAGCCAGCTGAGCTACAAGAGGCTGTAGGCACCAAACGCCCTTGCTGCATTAGGAGAGGAGAAGAGGTTGGAGGGGAATGTCTCCAGTGGTGCACTTGACCTAGAACAGGGCAGGAGCCCAGGGTTAAAGCAGGGAGCAGTGATTCTGCTGTCCCTACAACCAGGCTGGAATGAACCCCTTTTTCTCCATCAGTACTGATTCCTGATCTTACCTGGGAAGGGAAGAGACCCCTCAAAGTACCACTGTAATACTGATTAGTTACAGATGTTGCTGTAGTGATACCTCCCGATTCTGTGTTATACTACGTTTTATCCATAGAGTTTTCTGATGATCTGAAATATTGCTGATAGCCTGTCTGACCACACTTTGTCCCTCTTTCCTAAATGCAGTAATTGGTCTGATGAAAGACTCCCTACAAAACCTGTCTCCGTTCATCCATTACCTTTTGATTGCATGCATAGTGCTCACGTTATAGTTTTTTATCTCCTCTTTAATACTTATTAGATCAACTCTTCATTTTAAGCTTAGTCTATTTGACGTTTCACAAATAAAACTGGATGCTGTAGTTTAGCACGTTTGCTGTGGGTGACAGTAGCTGATCTCAGATTAGATTTACATTGATATCCTCTTAGTGCTTATCTCTAGTGTATGTGCAGTTGCTCAGGCACTGGAGAGCCTTTCAAAGATGTTTTGTCAATACTGCTACCCAAACTGTCATTTGTATCTGTAAACTGTGCGTTTGGAACCTGCTGTTCCCTCTTACATTATGGTTAGTGGGGAGCTGAAGTGAGTATTCAATGAAGTTACCGGCTAGTACAACTCTGTGGGAGTTATTGAAAAGATGAAATACTTGCTGTGTTCTCAAGAGACAGTGGAAAGAAAAAGAAGCTGGTAGGATGCCTTAACAAACCATTTGGCTTCCTGTCCTCTATTAATCACCGAAAAGTGGGCATAGTGTGCTAGATAAACAGAAGTTGGCTGCTCCAAACAGTGCACTTTAAATCTTCTGTGTTTGGATTTAACTTTTAATAAACGTGTGGGTGTTTCTGTTGGATTTGTTCCAGAGTTCCAGGTAAACTGAAGCAATTTGTACTAGACTTGCATTCTGGAAAATTGCATAGAGAGTTTCATCATGGCCCTGATCCAACTGATGTAGCACCTGGTCAGGTAAGGTTACAACAAACACATTTAATTTGACCACGTAATAAAGACCTGGTTTTGCTCCTTGTCAGAGCTGTACTTCCTAATATGTGTATGTAAAGAGAAGTCTGTTGATAGAAGCATAACGTTGCCACTTCTGCTTGGCTCTTCCTTAAACTTCCATTGAGTAAAGGCAGGGAGAGCATTAAGGGGAAGTATGGTACCTGTTTGTCTCAAATAAGGGAAAAGTATAAGAATATATATATTTTCCCCGCAGAAACAGAAGCTCTTGGGCTAGATGACTGTTCTGAGCTCATAGAGCTGCCCTGAGGTTCTCATGTGGTATTTTATTAATGCAGTTACCAAGTGGTGTTAGTAAGAGGTCACAGGCTGCATTTGTCAGTTTGGATTCCTCAGTGTCCTGCTCAAAGGTTGTCATGCTGTACAATTACATGCTTGGAAGTCAGTCCTGGATCTCTTCAGGAGCACAATTACTAGATCCTTCTCTAGACAAAACTCAGGAACCCCTCAGTGTTTCATTTAATCCAAGAGGCAGAAAAGAGAGCATCACCAGCGCCGATTCCCTCTGCTCAGCCCAGTCTTTAACTGTCTTGATCAGCCTTGTATCTTCGTTGTACGCCACTCAGCTGATACGCCTGGTGTCACAATGAAAAGTGCAAATGTAACAGCCTGTCAGGCAACCTTCTTGTTACCTCAGGCACTCTCTAAAGAAATAACTGCTTTTTAAACACTTCTTTTAAGTTATATGTTGCATTGTCTAGGGCTCAAAGAGCCACGTTGGTCCCAGAGGAAACCTGGTGCCCTTGTGTTGGGGTGCCTGGGCCCATCCCAGAATCCATGGGTGAGGGACAGACCGAAACAATTTATAGCTACCGGCTCATTTTCCTGGTCATCTGTGGGATGTGGTAAGGGTCACACTGTGTTAAGCCATGTGAGTGCAGCCTTCTGTTGCCTTCCTCAAAAGATTTAAAAGCGTGAAAGCCATGGAGGACATGCCTTGGGCCAGGAGAATCACTGCTTTTGAATGTTGTCATGACTGGCCGTTGGAAACACGCAGGCTGAATTGTCTCAGCAGTAATTCATTTAACTGGTAACTCCCTGTGTCTCTCGGGAATTCATTGAGCAACCCAGAATTCAGGTCAACAGGAGGAGTTGCAGAAAACAGGGCTGGGGACCGAGGCGTAGGCCAGGCAGCGGGTCAGTTCGGAACTAGACAGGCGAGCTTGAGGAAGAGACACTCGGAGGCAGTTGCAGTGTTGAGGAGGCTTGACCAGGGAGGGACCGAGTCCCTGGATCCTCCTGCTGCCTATCTGGGCCCAAGCTTGTCACCTCAAGCTGCGGGCTTGCTCTTGGCTCCATCCTCCTTTGCAAAATGCAGACAAAACCTGGGATGTTTACTGTCTCAGCTCCGTATGGCATCCTGCCGTCTTGTGGAAGATGTGTATCTACGTGCGATGCAAATACTGGCCTTACCTCAACTGAAGTCAGGTCATTTATGTCCCTTGAATTGCATATTTGGTTTGTTGTTGGGGTTTGGGGTTTTTTTTTTTTATTAGTTTCCATAGAAAATGAATGGTAAAATATTTTGGCCGCGATGTCACTTTTGCCCTGGTCCATCTCAAAAACACACACAAACTAGAATACCTTCAGAGCAAGTGGTAGATACACTCAAACAAATATACAGTGGGGTGCATTTGAAATGCTTTGAAGTCACTGGTATAGAAACTCGTGTGATGGCCGTTACCTTTGAGATGTGTCAACAAAAGGAATATCCTTAACTGATGGTGCTTAATCAATTCATGTATGTGTGCGTGTGTATTCCACCTGCTTGAGACTTATAATGTGCCTTGCAAAAAAAAAACCCACCTCAATTTGTGAGACTGCTGGACATTCGTGCACTCCCATAATAGACGCTAGAAGTTTGTTTAACGGAGGTGATTGATTATTAAAATGAGCCTAACAAGCAATTTTACTGTTTGTTCTGTTTTTCAGCCAATTCAGGATTTAGCAAGCAGCCCGCCAGAGAGCTCATTCCAGAAACTGGCACCCAGTGAACATAGGTACACCTTATTGAGGGAAAAAGATGAACTTTAAAAAACTTGAAATAATCTTGCAAGCCTTTCAGACAGCAGCATTGACTTCTGTGTGGTGGAAATAGTAAACCTATATTTTCATAATTCTATGTGTATTTTTATTTTGAATAAACTGAAAAATAATTTTTTTCTCCCCAGGCTTGTAAATACATTTGTTTGGTGGGTCATTCTGTACAGCATCTTTCAAACAGTACGTTCCTAATGCTATAGTAAAGTATCAAAGACCCATCCAGACTCTTGATCTAACTCTGTTCTGTAAAACTTTTATAATCCGAATGAAGGTATCCTTGCCAGAGACATGCTGTTAACTTGCACTATCCCATTAAATAGGACTTTTGGGTTGTTTTCTGTGTAACCTTGGTAGTATGTGCTTTTTCTTCTTCATGTGAACAGCTATCCTGGTAATCTATTTCTTTGTCGCATTTTTCTCCAACTTAAGAGGGTCTTCTATTCTGGATACTTGGGAGGGGAATAAATTAAAGTTTTACAGAATCTCGTGTGGTGCTTTTACTGGGTGTAAATGTCTAAGCGATTGAACAATTCTGACTATTAAAATAGCAAGGGAAGAAAGGAAAAGTTTTAATGGTAATGTGTAATGAAAGGGCTGTGTTGACCTGCTCTGATTTCTTGGAATGAAGATTGTTACATTATCCACACAGTTGTGTTAAAAGAACATGAATGTTGGAAACCCTTCAAAGTAGGAGAGGACTAGGGGTGAACTGCCATCTTAGTTTTGTCAGTCTTCAATTAATCTCTGTATGGATGTGTTATGATTAGTCTTTTTTTATTTATTTATTTGGGTCCCTGCCTTCCTGGCAGACATTTACTTTCCGAACAACCACTGGAAATTTTCTGTTACTCTTTTTGTCTGGCTTGTGCCTTATTTATTGCATTTTCTTCTGAATTACTACTTTCCTTGTGGGCTTTTCTGTTGTGCATAGTACCAGAATACGGGCTTTTCTCAATCCACCTTCAAGCTGCTTGGTGAGATGAACATATAGAAACTGTAAGATGGAAAAATAGCTGTTAATTTGGGGTGCGTTGCTGGAGACAAATTAGTATTGGATTTGTACAGTACATGTACTACAAAGAATCTAGGTCCATGACTTGGGCCCCAAGGTTTAGTATCCTTAGGAGCAAGCTTGTTCTTTGAATAGGTAGACCACTGGGTTCATGTTTACTTCGGCGAGTGCCCCAAGTTCTGCAGTTCACAGCTCAGGACTCCTTTTGCCTCTCAGCCAGGTGCCACCTACTCAGTTACTGAGGGAAGACTGACGTGGTCCGCCACAGCTGTGGCACGAGT